CTTCTATGAACACAATAAATGAGCTGAAAGTTAAGATTTACGAAAAGACTGGTCAGTCACCAAGCGATCAACTTTTGTATTATAACGATCGGCTGCTCTACGAAACGGTAACTTAATTGTTTTTCATTTGTAATTTTCTTCTCCTACATTGTATGACATCTAATTTGCCACCTTTAGGATACTCTCGAATCAGCTCGTATTGATCCCAGGGAGTTAATAGAAGCTCCACTTATTTTAATTACTCAGTCAGTAAGTGATAATACCGATGTTTCACGAGAGCTAGAAAAAGGTTTTGCGAATACAGCGCTTTCTCATTGGTAAAATGGCATAAAATGTCAGTTTATAGAAACCTCGGTGCGTTTTAATTCAGATTTCTATATGTTTACAGTCAGGGCTTAAATATTTCTTTGTTTTGTGTTTTTAATTTTTGAACGGTTCTTTTGCTAATTTCTTTGTTGTTTTCTTGTTACTCCTATTTCTGCATTTAAAACTCTTTTGTGGTCCTAAAATGTTGAATCGAGCTTTTGCTTTCTTTCAGTTCTGCTTCATTATTGAGAGTTGCTTGTCATTGTCAGGTCATCAGAGAATTGGAAACAATTCTTTTGAAATGAGGGTGCTTTTTTAAACGTATCCAAATCGGGTTACGCTGGTTACGTTTATTAAATTTTCCAGTTGAATGGCATTTCCAAAAGCCTGCAGCTTTTCTATTCTCTAAGTAACTTTTTATGAATAATAGCAGTAATAATAATATTAGTAATAATGGAAATATTGTTAACAACAATGATGCAAATGCATGAGTTGTATTTGCAGCGTAAGCATCATGCTGTTGAAATATAAGTTTATGGAGTTATAGGTAAATAGTTAACTTTAGTGCTTGGCTGTACTTTACTGTGAGTCTATTTCTTTTTTAGAGATAGGTGGCAGTTTTAGGTGCTACAGTTACTATTATCAACAATAGAGCACTCGCCTGCTTCGTAATTGAAGATTAGGCAGACGATATCTCTGGTACAATTTCTAGGGAACATTTTAAGTTTGATCTGAATTTTTAAAGCCTCGTTAGGGGTTAATAGCTTTTTTGTTGTTGCTTCGTTCTATGAACATACTTCAGTCATACTTTGAAATTTCTGACATAGCCTTCTCCCTGTTATATTATCGTTTATAGGTTGGAAATGAGTCTTTGATTTGGCCGCTGGTCGGTAAACTTGTTAATTTTGATTAATTCTGCATAAGTTTTTGTTTCTCGTCTTTTTTTTTTTTTGCTTTTAATTCACACTTGCTGCGTTTCAGCTTTCTAAGTGTTCTTTTTTTAATTACACGATTACAAATGTTTGTTTTTTTCTAGCTTCAGTTTAACTTTCAGTTTTTCAAATTTTTATGTCTTTAATTTATACAAGACTTTAGCACTCACAGGTAGGATTTGTCAACGTAATCTTGTGTAAATAATCTTTTCTTGCCAGGCAAAGGTCTGGTTGATTTCTTTGAATTATTACTGGTAATTTTCAGTGTTTTTAGCTTTTTCTCCGGGGTTTTCAATCAATCTTTTGCTTTACACATGTGTTTAATACGTTTGTTGTATTCTTACCTGCTTTTGTATGTTTTATTGATGTAACGAATTCTCGTTGCTTCCTGAAATTCGTGATGAATATGTAATAATTTGTTTATAGGAGCTGTATTTTCAAAGTCGCTTTGCTTCAAGGCGACAGTGTGTTTCATTTAGGATATTTTTATTGCGGTTGTAAAATAATCTGTTTTGCCTTGATTTCTGATGCTTTATTGGTTACCGTTGGTGTTTTTTTATATTGTAAAAAAGTTGGAGTTATAAAAAACTTTGTATAATCTTGCATTTATTACGAGAAAATTTGACAGTCCATACGCTATTTTGTTACATTTTGCTTTCAAAAGTGTCTGTGGGTGGGTGAGAACCTGCATGTCAGAACAGACTTTTTCTTCCCACTGTTTTTGCATGTTTAAAAAGTAGGTTGGAAATTTAATCTAATTTTAAGATCCGAGTATAATTGTTTTAGTTGTCTAAATGTCTTTAGTTTATCATTTTTACAGTGTTAAGCAGATTCTCCAAAATCGTGGTGTGATTTGTCGTGCTTAAGATTTGCTACTTCTTAATTCTAGGTTTTGAGGGCTGAAAGTAGTCACGTCACCAAGATATTGCATTTTCGTTCAACTGACTACTTTTTGCTTATAGGGATGGTAGGATGACTCAGTAGTGTAGTCTGATGCTGCGCCATGTGGGCATTAGGTTTCACTCGCTAACGTTTAGGGTACAGTCGGCCAGGAATAGCGCTGATACGGTTTTGACAAATTTATGAAGCTTCTTTAGTTGTTGCTTTGTAGAGTATTGGTAAACATGAGGAATAAAATTGGTTTGTGCTACATTGGATACCTTTCAACTCGGGCATCGTCATCCTCATCACCTTCGTCTTCGGCAGCGAAGAAGAGGCATCCCAGCGGTACAAGACCTCCTCGTCCTCCTTTTTATCGTTCCACGCATCCGTATATTCCATTAGGAACTAAACTGGACGAGTTTCCTGTAATGCTGATTGTTTAACTGTAGTTTATTTTCAAACTATTTGTTTAAATTCGTAGTTCTTCTAATGGCCTTGTAAACAGTTGATATTTAATGCCTTGAAGCCAGTTTAATTTTTCTGAATAGACATTTTTTTTGGGGTTTCGCTTTTCTAACTCGGTTTCGGTCTTAATTTTATACAAAATTTTGGTTTTTTGCACTCGTATCTGGGAATAATCGCCTCTTGGTTTTAGAATGCTGGTGAGACTGATGGTTCTGGCCCACGACTTTACGATTATTGGAAAGTCGGTGAAATGGTACGCCAGCTGCCAACAGTGTCAGAAAAAATTGACTTTGTGAATCCGTACGAAAGGCCATGGACGAAATTTGAGGAGAAATGGCATAGGTACAACAACTTTTCGTAGTCACTGTACTTATCATTGTGCTGCAGAATTTTCGTAGATTTTAAGCTGTTTTAGTATTTGCTGTTTGATACAGGAGGCATGCATGCTTATATGAATCAATTCTGATTCATATTTGTGAGGCTGAGACACACATTATAACTTCTGTTACGAGCTTTATCACTTGAAAACATTTCAAATCCTATCAAAATCTTTTCAGACCTACGAAAAAGACAAGCAGCACTGGTTAAAAAATTGAAAACAGCCATTAATAGCACCACTTTGGGGTTCTTCTTTTCGTTTTTTTTTTTTGATTGACCCATTTCTTTCTGGAAAATTTATCGCTAATCTTTTGCCAACTTAGGTTTCTTCTCAACAGCAAGTCGGTGGTGTCACTTCTTGTTTAGGTTGTCTTCTAGAATGTCAGTGTTTTTGCAGTAATAGACAATTTACTAAACTAAATTTGTAGGCAAATTCCTGGGGTACTAGTATTTCATTTCCTGTCTTTATTTTACTTGAATAAAGAGAAAATTAAATCTTGATTTGTTTTTAAAATCATGGTTCTAGACATTACCATGTAACATATATGGGCTTTTATAACCTTGGTTGTCTTCCATTAAGTGAAAGGAAGCAAATTGATTGTATGCGATTGACGATCTATCCTCAAACTTGCTGATACTTAAATATATTTTAATTTTAAGCACACTTTGATGGTTACGACAAAAAAGCTACAGAATAGCTAGTAATTAGTAATTTCAACGACTGGTATGCAATTTAATTTTTCAAGAATCCAGTTATTGCATTTTTAAGCTTGTACAGCCTTAATGTGTATACTACTTTTCACTGGTGGTGTTGAACACGCAACACTCAATACAACTCCTTAATATCTACGATCCTCATTCAGGGATCATCATCCTCCTTTGATACCGCCAAGAAAAGCTTGGAATGTTTTCCCCATCCCGAAATATTTTGATTCCTTGGATTTTTACAAATATATAACCAAAACTAGAGTCATTGATGGAATGGATATTTGCTATAGAGATTTAAACCCTCCTACAAATTCCTTCGAAGTTAGTCGCATTAATCTAACTTTAGATTTTACGCTGTAAGTTATAAGTAATATTTTTACATAGCTATTTTTTAATCTTTTTAAAGTATTTTGAATTTAACTCGTTATGAATTTTGTTGCATTGATTTTTTT